GACAGTTGTCAGTGTTTGTAAAATGTGATCGTTGGAAGTGTCGCTGTGCTAATGAACGAATAGGGCAGTTCATCATCCATAGGAGATTTGCAGTCACCAGGCAATCATCGAACGATGATGTCATCTAGCCGTTAGAGTGCCAGAAGTAGCCGTTGGAGGGTTGTTGTGAATTTCCACGCATCGGGCTCTCTAGCCAAGAGCAGAGGATTGTCTGGTCCATGTATTTTACGAATAGCCATTGGGTCACTTTTTTCTAATGATTGCCAATGGCTCTCTCTGAGGTTGTGGCCTATACATCAAGGGTTCTTCTGCTAATGTCTTTTGACCATATGAAAACCTGGTGGGAGTAGTTGAATAGAGAGTGAGATGTAGTGTTTTAGGACCTTTGTTGGGCATGAGACACACACATATGTGAGTCATCATGTTGTTGTGATGTTTAGGCAGCCTTAGATGCTACAGTTATCTTGAGCCAGAGCACTTGAGATTTTCAAAACCTTCCGATGAAGGAGTTGTATTCTTCCAGGTGGCGATCCTCTGTTTTTTGAGTGGAGAGGTATCATATCGGTGTGTGGATGAGGTGACCCCTCTCTCATATGGATGAGAAGCTCCATAATATACACAGTGTCATGGTGGTCGTAAGAGTCAGGTGGCGGTGGTGAGACTTCAGGGGTCATGCATTCGCTTTTGGTTTGCAATTCAACATCGTGACTAGATCAAGTGACAGTAACGATACTGGGACTTTGTACGCACTTCACTCATCTTTGGTTGGGCGTAGACTCGTAGTCCAACACCATGGCTCAAAGAGTTGGGTCGCATTTGTGAGACTTCGTGGCTCACGTGTCTTTTGTTGGTTGAGAAAACATTGGGAGCGAAGGAAACATCATGTCAAGGAGCATACCTCAGTATAGGCTCAATGTAGGCTAGAGGTCACGTTTTGGTAACTTATAGAACAAGGGAAATACAATTGTCTCCTTGCTTCCCTTTATTTCTTGCATTACTTGTTCTAGCTTAGTGGTTAGTTCTAGTTTGTGTGGAAGAACCTTATATTATGTGATAACTAAGAATGCATGCTAGAGTGTGCTTAGCTATAGGGCTTAATTCCGTAACTAAGGACAATATCTTAGCGTGCCATTTTTCTATGGATATATTTAGTATGTTGGCCTGAAAGACTCAGTATTAGTGTGAATCTTTTAGAACTGCTAGGTAATCCGTCTAAAATTATATAAAGATTAGAGAAATTTTACGGCGCTTGGAAATAATGAGCCTTTCATTCGACTAGATCGAATGGTTAAAGACTAAAAAGAATCAATTCAGAGGAACCTAAGTTATGGGCCAAAACTAAAAAATTGGTGGGCCAGACCATGAACGATCATTAGATTTGAAATCAGCGATCGATACTCTGACAACCTAGCAGCCTGTTCGGTTAGCTGATTCGTATCGTTGCTGATTTATTTATATGAGAAAGAAGTACTGCTGGCTGATTCAGATGAACAGTATTTTTATAAGAGAGCTGACCAGCCCAGCCAGTCAGCCAGCCAACCCCAGCCCAACGAGCTGCTAAAACTTTCCTTTCTGGAAAATCGCAGCACCGGAGCCGAGAGCACATGCGCCCACCCCTGCGCTCCATCGTCCCTGTTTTGAATGCGACGTCATTAAAAAAAAGTAGATCATTTATTTCAAATTGCTATAACTTTCGTTCAGTATATATAATTTTAATTCCGCCTGTACCGGTGTGTTCTACGTGATGACACGAATAAAACTAGACCCTCACTTTCATATATTTCGATTTTTTTTCTAGTAGTGAATTATGTGTATTAACTTATAACAAAACATAGAAACACAACTTATGTATAAAAATTATTCTGTACAACTGGTGTATTATTATGTACATAAATTATTTTATACAATTTGTGTACATAAATTATATTTTGTAAGTTATATGTTATAAGTTAGTAGACATAATTTGTTGCTAGAATAAAATTAAACTTGGAAACACGAAAGCTATGAAACACAACTTATATATAAAAGTTATCAGATATAACTTGTATACATAAGTTATTCTATATAAACTGTGCATTATTATGTACATAAGTTATTATATATAACTTATGTACATAAGTCATATTTTATAAGTTATACGGTATGTTATAAGTTAGTATACCATAATTTATTACTAGAATAAAAATTTTCGAAACATATGTAAGTGGGGTCTAATTTTGTTCGCCTCGTTGCGTAGAACACAGTGGTGCAGACGGAATTAAAAATAGATAGACCGTTTAGAAGTTATAACAATTTAAAATAAATATTTTGCATTTTAAAAATGACGTCATGGCAGCATGCCTGGGCGCGTGCAGTCTCCTCTGATGAATCGATCACCCGTTTAGAAAGGAGCGGTCGATCGCGGGAATGGAACTGGGGCCAGGAACTAGGCCTAAATTTAAAGATCAAGGATAGAATTGTACTCTCGCAGATGAGTTTTCTGAATCGCCCCGACCTAGATAAACCTGTGAACACCGAATGCAGCAACCAACGATTCGAGATGAAGCCCTCCAGACGGTCAAGACCCTACAAGTTGCTGGCGCCGAGGTTCTTCACTGAGGCGGCCGGCAGTGTGTGCGTTAGTTTGTGCCTGTGCGACAGGGAAAGGAAGATGATGATCAAATGACCCGTTCGCTTGGCTGATAAGCCATGGCTGAAAGTACTATTGATTGATTTGTTGTGAGAGAAAAATACTATTCGTTAGTTGAAAAAGTACGGCTTATAAGCCAAGCGAACAGGACGAAAGTTTATGTGCCAAGTAAAATAACTAAATTACCCTTCGTTACATTTAATTAATTTATTTTACTCAGACGGTTGGAAAATTTTACGTACGTTGAAAGGAACCACCCCGAGCACCGTAACAAATCTCTAAAGATTACAGATAGATCATATTATTATAACTAATTTAATTTAATTTAATGGGTCACCTTAACTCTTAAATCCAAGTAGCTACGTATGGCAGCTGATTAGAGGTGCCTTGACATTCCAAAGAGCACAATATATATTTCCAAATCTCCGGGCGATCGAGATGCTGGGTGGGGGATGGAAATGGTCCAGATAATCCAAATGGAAGAAGGGACATGGGAAAAGTAGGTTCCGTTCGCTCGAACTCATCAGCCGTATCGTTTAAGAGAAATAACAGGACGGTCAGCAATTTTTCAGCCAGGCGAACCGAACCTCCGATACGGTACCATACCCATGAGAGCTGAGTGAGATCCCGACGAGCCCACCACCAGCAGCACAGACAGAGGAGGCAGCAGCGATTCGCGCTGTTCCCAATCCCAGCAGCCGCAAGCGGCGTTTTCCGAGTGCCCGTGCGCGCCGCGATATGATGCTGTTGCCCCATGCCGATGCGATACGATGTGATTGCCTATATATATAGCTATTTGCCTTTGCCTCCGATCCACGCGTCGTCCCTGGCCTTTGCCACTTTGCCTTTCCTTGCCTTGGCATCACGCTCTCCTTCACGCGCGGACATATTGCCCCTTGCCCGGCTCCACGGATGAGCAAACAATTGCCAAAAAAGGCCCAAAACAAACCAAATATATCTTGACCAGCTCCATAACTTAACACTCCCTCGCTCCGTTCTAAATTGCAAGTCATTCTGATTTTTCACTCCCTCGCTCCGTTCTAAATTGCAAGCCATTCTGATTTTTTTAGGTACCTTATTTTTATTATATACCATACTGTATAAAAACTACGTGTCTAAAAAAAATAGAACAACTTACAATCTAAAATGGAGAGAGAGCATTTGTTTCCACAACTTTTTTTTGAGTATTATAACTTTTTATCATATAGTTTTTAGCCAACTTATGACGACAACTTTTCTTCATATGATTATCAGTGTGCAAACTTCTTAGCCTAAATATATACAAGAAAAATGTGTAGATTAATTAGTATTAAAAAAACTAAGAAGCAAAGGAAAAAGAAGAACAAAAAATAGAAAGTATAACAATTTCTCAACATACCTTTTCTAGCACAAATTTTATATAATAAATTTATGAATAACATAACTGACACACATAAGTATTGTCATTTAAAAAATTTATAAATAACTTATTCAACATTTTTTTTAACTTAGTTTGTTCCAAAAAAAAAACTACTCAACCTAAAAATTTCATTCCAACTGTACACAAGAGAAATGGGTAGGTAATATGTAAAAATGAAAAAGCAAAGGAAAAAAAAAGAGAAAAAAACAGCAATAGAGAAAAGTGCATCATACCTGTTAGCACGCTTATTCAAAGTATCGTTTGTAAGTTGCAGATTGGTAGCGTGGAGTGGTAGAAACGTCGAGGAGCTGTACAAATGAAGAGTAAGGCGTAGTTAGTAGAAGCGGATTTGGTCCAGCTTCTGTGTTTAGTACAAATAGGGGCAGTGAGCATAAGCGCACTGTTTAGCTACTGGTTCACTTTAAAAATTGTACCAGGCACGCCTACAGGCCCAAAACTTACTGCCTACTCTGAGTTAATGCTAACCTGTCACTGGACCAAACACTATCTGAGCTAATGCTAGTGGGACGATCCTCGTAAAAAAATGTGCAACCTTCACGAGGAAGAAAGGAAAACACCAGCGTTAATCCGCTGGAACACCAAGTTCACCGATGCCTCACTGCTAGCTTCCTTTGTGTGCTTGGAAAACACACACGGCTTCACAAATATATTCAAGCTGTACATCTTGGGCATCCTTTATTAACTGCTCACGTTTTCAGTGTCCAATGTTTACAGGCTATAAGCATGAAGGATTATAAATGACCTCATCTTTCTTTAACCACAGAGTTCTAAGTGGCCTGTGCTTCGGAATTACAAATTCTATGGTTTATATATGGTACAAACTGGCCACGAGTATGGTATGGTATATGAGATACAGAAATTGTACACTACATAGGCCCAAGACTTCCTGCCTGTCCTAAGCTGAAGGGCCGATCCTTCCAGAAATCTTGAACAAAAGGAACGCCACCAAGCTCATTCTGTGCTCGGAACGCTTGCGGTCTCAGGTACCTCGCTGCTGGCTTTCACAGCGCCAGCAAAACTACAAATCTTGTTCAGGGCACTCAGGTAAGCTCTGACGCTGGACACCACAATGTCCATGGATGCCCCGCTCCCACTGAAGTCAACAGACACGGAGATGCAGTGAGAGAGAAGAACAGAATAGCAGAGAGCGTGTAAGAAATCAAAACAGATTTCAAAGGACTGTAATAACCTGAAGGAGCGATTGAAAGAGTGGCCAGTCAGGGCATGTTTGGCATTGATGCTCACATCTCCAGTGACAACGACTCGAGTTGTTGCAATTGCGTCAATGCCTTCTGTGACTGATGTCATACTATATTCTCGGAGAACGGTTGGAATCTGCACATTGTTAGTCCAATAAGATTTCTCTTCATTGTGATTGTTTGGTAGTCAACGAAACAAAATAAATGAATCTGATGAGTTAGGTACAATCCCTGCCTGCACCAGTTAGTCCATCAAGTGCTTCTCTACTCCAGACTGATAGGAGACAACCCATGTTATACTCAATATGGTGTTAGATGATTAAATATTTGGCATCTCTTTTTTTTTTACAACCCTAGTTATTTTCTAGTTCAAAGACAGACAGGAACTCTGTCAATAGAATATCTATCTCATGTCACATTGTATGATACTGCAGCTTTTGAAATGGGCCTGGTGCCTTCCCAAGCAGCACAACTGACACTTGTTTCTTTCTCAAGCTGCTAAAAGATAATCAGACACAATGCTCTAATAAATCATGGTAATAATCACAAGTCATGCCCCTGTATAGATGTAATTTTATTTCTAACATCAAGCCAGTGTATCATCTCTTGAAATACATCTGCTTATGATAAATTTCATGCAAATTCTAGGAAAATTGTGGGTTATCATGATGAAAATACAGCCAGAGGTTCACCCAGATACAAGTAATTCTAGTCCTTATCGAGAAAAAAACGAGTACTTCTATTATTAAAAGAAAAATGCAACATTCATATTTGTTCACGTTTGAAGTAGTGCACCAGTGCATGAAAAATAAAAAGGGCAAAATCTAGTGCCGAAGGCTCCCACATGAGTGGGGTCTAGGTAAGGGAAAAACCGAGGCAAGCCTTCCCCCCGCAAAATATGTGGAGAGGCTGCTTCGAACCCACGACCTGGTGACTCAGTGAGACAGCTCTCACCACTGCACCAGGCCTGCCCTTCTAGTGCATGAAAAATACCCAAAAAAAACCAGCATCCATATTCCATTGTTAGAAGCAGTGTACCAGTGCAAGAAAAATCAAAATTGTGGTGGCAACAAACCTGGATTATTTGGTCAACAGCCTTGTAAGCTGCATCGACTGGACCTGTTCCGACTGAACATGCTATTTTCTCCTCTCCATCAGGTCCTATCAATTTCACTGTTGCCGTAGATAAACTAAGTGTACCACATGTTGCCTACAAAAGGATGAATCACATTCAAACTTAGCATATCACGTTTCTGCTAACCAAAGTTTAGTAAACTGCAGCTCAACAATACCTGTACATCAGCAAGGGACCAAATAACCTTAGGCTGGAATATCTCATCTGACAATAACGCTTCTAAGTCTTCATCAGTTACACGCTACAAATCATGAACGAATTGGTTAGTTTCCATGTGTAGAGAATGTACATGTTATAATATATGACAAATAAAACAGAAAACGAAAGCAAGCAGCCCTCCCAGGGAAATGCAAGGGTTAAATAAAAATGTGTGTGTGTGTGGGGTGGGGGTGGGGTGGGGGGGGAGGTGACATATGGCCCAAAAAGGAAATGCATGCAATTTTTGAAAGATTATAATAAAATGATGGAGATGACATTGGGTAATAAAAAGGTGACATGGCCCAAAAAGGAATGTCACATAATAAATAGAGTAAGTATGCTTCAGAAAAGAGTCACCTTTTTCTTCTCTGCAACCTCTTTGTAGCGTTTAAAGAAGTCCTCAAATTCCTTGTCACCGATTTCATATCCAAGCTACAGTGGAACAATGAAGATCATATCAGGTAACAATAAGAACTGGAACAGAAAAAAAAGAACTTGAACATAAAGCCCTAGTTGTGAGTAGAAAAACAAAGAAAACATCTAAGCTGTACCTCCACTAGCTTAGATCTCACAGCATGCCTTCCACTGAAAGTAAGAACAGAAAACATTAGTAAATTTGATCTAATTTATTGCTGTATGCATGCCTAATTGTATTGAGCACAAAATATCCAATTCAACTAATCTGGAAGTGTATGAAAATATAGCCAAGAAAGAATTTCAGAAGCGTAATCCTGATAAATAGATTAATTAAAGACTAAACATTTGATCAGAAATTTCTTCCAAGAAAAACTATCAAACTTCCAGTTCAAGAATATAGTACATATAGCATAATGATAGAATTATAGGATTTATGTTGTGACTGAAGTCTAATGCTTTACATCATACCCTACTACCACCAATACTTTTGTAGTTTTGTAACACTAACTGTACACATGTCACTAACAGCTAATGCCGACCTAGTAGCCATAACATACAAGCATTCAAAATTTAAGCATTTGGGGATCCTTTGTGGTAGCATGAACACTGAGTCAGCAAAAACTATGAAGTTGATGAGAGAAGTCTCCTGGAGATACATCACAACAGAATATTTGAGAAAAGTGAACTAAATAGGGAAAGGTGTGTTGCATGATACCTGAGTTTCCCAAGAACAATACCAAATTCATTTGCACGTGTTAAACCAATATCATCAGGCGATATAATTTCATAAGTTCCTTTATTTTTAAGCATGCCATCCTACAAAACAAAAAAAAAAGAATGAAAGTGAACATTAAGAATCAGTCCACTCTAAAAAATCACAGTTTAATGAGAATAGTTAGGGCCCCTTTGGAATGCAAGAATTTCACAGGAAACCACAGGAAACAAGAAAAAAAAATCCCGCATTCCAATTTCCAAAGGGGGTCTTAAATCATATATCTATGAGATCAATAGTGGACAAAAATTTAATTATCTTAGAGGCTCAGAGTGACAAAGCAAGGTGAAACAACGGTTGATCCATCACAATGGAGAAAATAATTATTTACAATATATAGATAAGTTGCATTGGCAGTTGAGAACAAACTACCAAGGAAGTGAAAATGAGCAATTTATTTATTTAAAACAAACCAACCCACCACTGCTACAATCGCAATAAGTTGATGGTAGTAAGGAGACTGCAAATGTGTTTACCTGATGAATTCCACTTTCATGAGCAAATGCATTGGCACCAACAATAGCTTTATGTGGTTGTACGATCAGTCCACTATGCTCTTGTACCTAGAATAGTTCGAGCATTTGTGCCAGAAAATCAGTCATCTGAAAAATGTATATGAGACCAAAAGGAAAAACAAACAAGACAAGAAATGATTATTGTACCATTTTGCTCGTCAAAGTGATATGCCGAGAATCGATTCCAGTATAGAGACCATTTAACAGTTCTCTGCGGCATTTAATTGCCATGACAACCTGTAAAGAAGATCAGAAAATATTAGGCATGTACAAACACCCAATCAGCCCAATTCAGATTCCTCTCCAAAACCCATCAGACTACTTTGTAAGGCACTGTCAGCAGATAAATATGACTAAGGCATCAGCTCACCTCCTCCAAAGAAGCATTTCCAGCTCTTTCACCAATACCATTAATAGTAACCTCTAATTGCCGTGCTCCTGCACGAGCACCCTAAAGTTAAGTCAAAGTAGTAGCCCCATTAAGATTAGACCAATGATAATAAATTATATAAAAAATATAAATAAGTAAATAAATAAGGAAAAGGTAGTACCGCTAATGTGTTTGCAGTCGCAAGACCAAGGTCATTCTGGCAATGAGTGGAAATGATAGCGTTTTCAATTCCAGGAGTGTTTGCCTTTATATCAGCAATTAACTTCCCAAATTCGTAAGGAAGATTGTATCCGACGGTGTCCGGGATATTGAGAGTCGTAGCTCCAGATTTTATGACTTCCCCTAGAATATGATACAAGAACTCTCTATTTGACCTGGATGGAAAAGTGAAACCAATCATGGCACAGCCATACGGGAAAAAAGGTCATTTCTTTGCAAATAAATACTATGAATTTTTTTTGAAGGTATCCCAGCATGAGCTAAAACTTCAGCATCCTTCTTTTGCACCAGTAAATTGTGCAATCCCAAAAAAAAACAAAAAAACAAATGTAGTACCTTGCAAGGCTAAACATGCAACAAGCTTTCAGTAACCACCAACTATTATTACCCTGTTTTGATTCGCTGAGAAAGTTGCCCTCAGAATGTAGATACCCTGAAACTCCAAGAAACACTACTCTGCAAACTAAAAGAAGCTGGCTACTCAACAAGTAATCTGGCACACACAAAAACGGTCCCAATTTAGTGGTGCATGCCTGCTAAAACAAATGTAGTACTACTTAGCAGGCATGCACCATTTTGCCTCAAAATCAAGAAATCAACTCCTGTTCAACTAAATTTGGACCGTTTTTGTGTGTGCCAGATTACTTGTTGATTTGTGAACTTCAATTAGATGAATTGGAAACCTTAAACCAGCTTACACTTTCCTTGGTACCCCGTACCCAAAACAAAAAAATTGGGACCTTATTACAGCTACATGCTTTCAGATTCGGAGAATGCAGCTAACAAATCAACCAAAGTATGTTTTTTTCACAACTGCAAAGAGTGGCACGTACCTGCCGGCGTCCTCGGGGCTGAACTCGACGTCAGTGCATCCGAGGCTGCGGGCGTACGCCACCATCTCCCTGGCAATGGCCACCACCTGCTCGGGCGTCTTCCTGAGCTTATGCTGCATGTGAATGTCGCTGGTGGCGATGAAGGTGTGGATCCGGGGCCGTCGCGCGTGGCGCACGGCCTCCCACGCCGCGTCGATGTCCTTCCGGTTGCACCGCGAGAGGCCGCAGATGACCGGCACGTGTGGGACTGCGTCGGCGGCGTCCTCCCCGGCGGGGCCGGGTGCGGCGGGGTTGCCGACCTCGATGGCGATGGAGCGCACGGCGTCGAGGTCGTCGGGGGAGGAGGCCGGGAAGCCGGCCTCGATGATGTCGACGCCGAGGCGGGCCAGCTGGCGCGCGACGACGAGCTTCTGCGCGCTCGTCATCGTGGCGCCCGGCGACTGCTCCCCGTCGCGCAGCGTGGTGTCGAAGATGCGCACGTAGTTTGGGTCGTCGATGCGGTTCGGGACGTACTCCGGCCGCCGCTGCCCCCGCGGCGGCGGAGGAGGCTGCTGCTGCGACGCTCGGGCGGAGACCGCGCGGAGGCGGAGGCAGCGGGCGGCGGAGAGGACATGGCCGGAGGAGAGGACTGGGGATGGCAAGCGGGTGGCTTTTGGGGCGGGGGTGGAGCAGAAGGGTTTAGCGGGGGAGGAGAGCAGCGAGGATGCCATGGTCGGCCGTCGGCGTGGGTTTAGTTGACGGCGGCGGCGGTGGACATTAAATTATTGGGGAAGGATAGTGGAGAGTCCACTCCAGTGCTACACGGCAGACGGGCAGAGGCAGACGAATCAGATATCTTGGAGCATGGTTATCTCGGACGGGGATGAGGATGACGCCGATGAGGTTTCGTGGGCGGTACGGAGCCACGGAGCGCGCCGGTGTCGTGTCGGCTGAGCAGAGCAGACAAGAGAGGCGCCGCGGCGGCGAGCATAGCATGCGAGAGTGGTGACCGGGGCGAGTCCGAGTCCGAGTCCGTGTCCGTGCGCAACAGTGCACTGCACGCACTGAGCACAGCAGCAGGCACGATCCCACGAGACTCTGAAAGCCAACGGATTTCCTAACCGATTTTTGGATTTGTGGGACTCGGATAAGATCCCCTTTATTCTATGACATCGAAACATCTACTACGGCAATTAAAAAGTGACGTGACAGATGCGATGCAATCAGGAGTTATTCATCTTGTTTTCATTGTCTTTCTTCACCTTCTCAACGTCTATTTGCATCACCGGGGCTAAATTGGCTAATACTACTCCCTCCATCCTAAAGTCTAAAGAAAATACAATTCTAAAACACAATTCCAAATTAGGTAATCAATATAAAGTTTGACCAAACTTATTAAGAAAGAGAGAGTAAAATTTATTATACTCCCATATTCCAAATTATAAGAAGTTTTTGCTTTCCTAGTTAGTAAAAAAAATATAATTCTACAATAGAAGTAATATCTTTTTGTATCGGAGTGATAAGCATATTTCTTGTAGGAAAAAGTAGAATTTTATAAAATTTGGCTAATAGTTATTCAAGTTATATACAAGTTTTAAAAAAACTTGTATCTATAGTTGTATTTAAAGTAGCTCTAAGTTGATATTGTTTTCTTTTTGGCAAATAACAACATGTTTAAGATAAATGGATGTTCAAAATCTTATACTCCCTCCGTACTTAAATAACTTAAGGAAATTCTCAAATGACGTGTGTAACCATAGATTAAACTCAACTAAGGTGTTTCTACTCAAAATATGGTTTCCTTTTTAATAATTTCTTGCTAAATCTAGAAAATGACACCACGTTGCACTATAGTATTTTAGTATACACTTTAGAAGTCACAATGCATTATATATTTTAGGACAGAGAGAGTATGTATGGCTTTTCTCGTATCAAAATTCACTTACCAATTTGGGCGGGGGAGTAGTTAGCTCTAAGCATTGGTGGGTCTTATCGGAGTAGTTACGTTGATGAAGACGGCCACTAAAACAGACGGTCCGAATTTCATATTGGCCATGGAGGACCACACGCTAAAATCGGTTTTCGCGGAGGGTAAACAACGACATGGTTGTCCTTTAGCTTTCCTCAAAAGATTGATTCTGACTTCAGCAATGGATCTTTAATCTTTGGATCATATATTCAGTAATATGTCAATATCGTCTCGAGAACTCCCCGTGAAAGCATTTTTCAACCCTTGAGGTTAATATAAGAACTCCATGGAGGATTGAGCAGCGGCGGAGGCAGAAATTTTTTTAAAATAGATCGAGCGAGTTGTAGTGAGAAAACTGAATCTAAAGCATAGAAACTAATTCGCACTGCATTCACATATTGCAACAAAAAAATTAAGGCAAAAAAGTTACAACCACAAAAATTATGGTCCCTGATCCTGGTTGGTTGGCCCGTTGGGATACGAACACCGGTGGATATGATAGCAGTTGAATGATTGGTTGGGCCGTTGGCCATCGGGGAATAGGATGATTTTCATCGGAGCATCAGGCAGTTGGGCCTTCATATGGCCTGCTGCGCGACAGTACCAAGGTGGCAACATCAGGCCCAGCCAGGCTGCCACCTATCTTCTTCTCAGTCCTGGATGCATGGCGGGCTGGCGGCGAACGCTCGGCGCTTGGCTCAGCGGCCATCAAAGAAAGAGATCTCTCGAAGAAATGGATGTGCAAGGACCCAACGAGCAAGGAGGAGGGTGTGGGAGTAAGCACGCTACTCCCGAGAGAACGTCGTTTCGAGGCTGTCTTAAATTAAATATTTTAAACTTTAACTACAAATAAATTTTTTGGGGTTGAGTTTGGAAACATGAAAGTGATGTAAGTAGATTCATCTCGAAATGTAGTTTCACAAAAGTATATATTGACTATATTTTATAAATATTTTATAGCAAAAAGTAACGGTCAAAGTTCTTTTTTAGAGATCGTGTCGCTGTTCAAAACGATATTCTTTAGGAAACTGGAGCGGGTATGTCGGTGTTTTGGAACCGGGGGTCCCTCAACCAACGAGTGAATTTGTGCTGCGTGCCCCTAATCCCGGATGGTGGCGCAAAGAGACACAAGGTTTATACTGGTTCAGGCAATCGAGGCCCTACGTCCAGTCCGAGAGATCGATCTTGTATTCATTGCACCGGAGTGCTCGTAGTAGGGGTTACAAGCTAGGTGAGAGAGGGAACTAGCCCCGTGTCTCTCATGAGAAGTGTGGTGCGGGCTGCTTGAGGCGTTGTTCCCAAGCGGCGAGGAGTGCGTGGTTCTATCGGCGTGTTCGTCTTTTCCGCCTCCCCAGAAATGGCCCTGATCCCCTCCTTTTATACTCTAAGGGAGGACCGGGACCGTGCAGAGGTGCTACATAGCGCTTCTGTAAATGGGGTGGCGTGTCCGAGCCCCGTAGTCGACCACTGTTGTGGTATGGTCGATGGAGTGGCCCCGTCCTTGTCGTGCGGAAGTGACATGCTGGTCATACTCGGTCTTGTGCGTCGTGGGGCTCCAGTACGGCTTGATGCAGGACATGGCGGGCGACGTCTTTGGTCGCGTGTAATGACGTCGTAGGGAGCAATGGCTCTGCAGATGCCGAGGCCGAGCCATTGTGGGGGGCTCGGTGGTCATGGACCCTCAGTCGCCGAGCCCGTGAAGCAAACTGTCGAGGCCTTGGGGGAGTTATTGGCCCTGATGCGATTCCGAGGCCACAGAGCTCAGACGTGGCTCCCCATCTTTGCGTTGTCCTTGGAGCAGGAGTTGGCAAAGACAGTGAGGCATGGGTGTCAACCATGTGCACGGTGGATAGCATAGTGACGGGTAACCCCCGCTTGATCCGGGGACGGCAGTCATCGCGTGATGACGCGTGAGGGGTCGTGGCTCAGAGGTGCCGAGGCCAAGCCATCATGGGGGGCTTTTGGCGGACATGGGTCCTCGGCCGTCGAGCCCTCGGAGCAAGCCGCCGAGGCCTTGAGGGAATTATTGCTCCGGGTGCGATTAGAGGCCACGAGAGCCAGATGTGGCTCCCCACGCTGCATTGTCCTCGGTGCGGGAGTTGGCAAGATAGTGAGGCATGGGCGTCAACCCATGTGCACGGTGGTTAGTCTGATGGCGGGTAACCCCGCTGCCCCCCCGCCTCTGTCCCCATCGGCCATTCTCATTGCATCTTGTGCGGGCATGCGGTCATTGTCGGGGCAGCGAGTTTGGTGAGTTGATGCGACACTGACGTTTTGCTAGAGGGACGGAGAAGGAAGAGGTAGCGGAGTCTGTCGCCGAGCCCGCCTTGCGCGAGACGGAGGGTCGGTGGCCTCGGCCGAGGCCTTTGGCGGGGAATCGACCGAGGCCCGCGGTGAGGGGGCCTCGGGCGAATCGGAGAATCGGCTGAGGTCCGCGGTGATGAGGCCTCGGGCGAGTCGGAGAATCGGCCGAGGCCCGCGGTGATGGGGCCTCGGGCGAGTTGGAGAATCGGCCGAGGCCCGGCAAGCCATGAAATGGTTTCGATCTTTACTGAAATCTAAGCGATCGTTTTTGGATCTTGCTTAGGGTACCCCTTCTCATGGTATCCACAAGAGTAGCCCCGAGCCTTGGGGAGTGGAGGCACTCCCCCGAGGTTCGACGAGAATTGGCTCTTGATAGCTCCTGCCGGGATGGTGTTTTTTGTTTTCGAGGTTTTTGGTGGAGTGAGTGTGGCAGCGCACTCCGGTGTAGCCCCCGAGGCCCCGGAGGTGATTTCACTTCTTCAGGGCTTTTTTCTCTTCGAGTGAGGCGTTTTGATCGTGTTTGCGGGCCCGTGGGTGCGAGTTCGGATCATGGGCCTCGGCGATGTTGCGGAAAGAGCCCCTTAGCCTCCGCTTTGGAGCGAGAGGGCGTCTGGGGGTTCTCCCGGCTTTTTTGTACGACCCTCGTGCTTCCTTTTTTCTCGGAAGGAGGGGTGAAAGATGCCATGCCACCTCGGTGGGCGCGAGCGATGGCATCTCCGGTGAGCTGATATCGGGTAAGTCCGAGTGGAGGCCCGCACCCGTTCTTTGGGGTCGGCTAGCGGTCCGGAGACGCGCTCCAAGAGTACGGAGGGTTTCTCTAGTGGGTGCCGAGGCCGTTCACTGGGCCTCGGTGGCTCGGTGCCTCCCCACGGTGGGATCCCATTCGGAGACCTCCCTACCGGTCTCGGACACAACATGGCGTGCTCGTGACAGGCTCGCCTGTAGTCGCCCCTCGACTCTTTTTGCTGGGGCAATTGCCGAGACCACAGGGGCCCAACTTTCGAACCCTGGACCGTAGCGGGATCGAGTCGCTTGTTTTTATCTTGGGTGCAGGAAGAGCCCCGAGCCTCCGTGACGGAGCGAGAGGGCGGTCGTGGGGTCCTCCGACTTTTTTTTGCCCGTCCCCGCCTGATCCTTTTCGCTCGGACGGGGGGCTGTTTGCCGAGTCCACTCGTGTGCGAGCCTGAGCCGCTGGGTCTCGGCAAAGTTGCAGGAGGAGCCCCCGAGTCTCTCGTGACGGAGGCGAGAGAGCGGTCGAGGTCCCCCGGCTTTTGGTTCGCCCTCGCTGCGTGAGGGTCTGACCGCCGAGCCCCCCTCGGGTGCGAGCCTAGGTCGCGGGGTCTCGGCGTCTTTTGCAGAAGGAGCTCCCTAGCCTCCTGACGGAGCAAGAGGGCCGTCGGGAGTTTCTTCCGGCTTTTTGAACGACCCTCGCGCTTTCTTTTCGCTCGGAAGGAGGGT